ATCACAGTGATCTAGATATCATGCAGTACTCTCGTAGAATCCAAGACAAGCAAACAACTAAACCTTTTTTTCAATATAATTTGATATTGGCTACATAAATCATTTTTTGCCATTCTGTTTAGTTAATAGCTATATCTACTGGAAGATCCAATGCAATCTTATTTTTTGCAGCCACAGCATGTCGTGTTAATTTTGGTCTAACATATTCTACTGAAATCCTATTATTTTGTAAAATAGAGTTTCTTTATGTCTACAAACAGGACCACTAAAGTTGCCATTCCCTTACTTTATGGAGTCACCTGTATCCAACGTGATCCTCTGTGGTAACTAATTCCATTACGATCCATATTCTTACTATACCAAAAGGAAATTACATGTACTCCAACTTTGTTCTACTTAAACCCCAAAATAGTACTCTAAAAGTTTTATAGGATCAAGCCTCTTCCTAGTCTCATTTATTAGAACTATGTAAAACTCATCTTGGATATGTCTTGTAAGCTAGGGTTAAATAAAAAGATAAGGACTAAAGGGAGAACATTGATGTGAACTTACAGAGATAGAAAACTGTCCACTATCTCCGCCTAATCTTACACTTGAGAATACTCTGCCTTACATATCCCTAATAATATTGATGTCTAATGAAAATTTCCTCTCTAGCAGTCTCCATATCATTTTCCTGGGCACTTTGTCCTAGCTGTTTTTCTAAATTAATAATAAAAAAATGTGCAAATCTTGTTTACTTTTATGTACTACTCTGTCAATGCCAGAAGTGGGTAAAAGGCTTCAACTATAGATCTCTCTGGCATGATGTTAGTCTGATTCCACTTCATGTGTCTGATTCCACTTCATGTTACTATCTCCATCTATATCCCATTTTCTATAAAAGCTCTATCCTTCAAATTCACTTGTTTTTTACCCTGTATGTTCCACCAAAATTGTACTGTGGCCATGAACCTCTTCGGCAATTCTTTTTTATTTCTCGATAACCACATCAAAAACCATTGACTTATCAAACTATTTGCATTTTTGTTTCTTTCTTTCGTTCGTTCGTTTGCTTGCATTGCTTCTAAATTTCTGATTTCAATTTTTTCCAGAGTTGGGATTTTCTTTCTCAACTAGTACATTATGTCTGCCATTTCTACATTATACTTCTTCAGATGTCATGCACTTGTTGGTCAAACCCAGTAAGCTAATAGTTTTTAAGCAAGAAAGTTTTCCTGTTTCGTTTGGATCTCATGGGAAACCATTTTAAGTCTATGAAGAGAATTAATTTATTTGGATTTAAGCATTTAAGTGGATACACCATTAATGTTCTTTATTTAAGGTTCCAAGACTTGTCCAAAATAGCTAAGTCTAGGTGATTTTGTGTTCTGTCTGCAAGAAATTTGATGGCAAAAGTTTTTAATTGGTTAATGCTGAAGGTAATTCTCTCTGTGTTTTTGAAGACCACTAAAATTTATAGACTCTACTTGACATTATGTATGTATCTTGGTTGCTTGAAGTTGTCATTCTATGGATGGACTTGCTCATTTATTGGGGATTGCAGGGAATGAGCTTAAAGTAGCCCCCTTTCATTTTGATTTTCTGCTTCATTTAGTCTAGAAGACCATTAGGCCCAGTTGCTTAAACAAGGAACAACAACTGTCAACTTTTAGGGATAGAGCAATGAGCACAAACTTAAAAACTGATGAGCTTGTGTTATAAAATTCGTTAGCTTACTTGGATTCTCCATTATTTTACCTTTTATTTCATCTTAACTTTAATTTTGGGTGTTTATTCCATGGCATAAGAATACGGACAACTAATATTTCATTATATGCCTCCGTGAGTCTTGTAAGTATTTATATCCATGTAATGCAGGTGCCTCCAACTTTGAGATTTGTGATGGATGGCGAAATGCCTGAATATTTGCTTGCGAAGGATTTGATTTTGCAAGTAAGTTGAAGCACAATTGTTTTCTGAGGATCTTTTATATTTCTAAAGATGTGCCAAGGGTAAGAGTACCTTTCATATATGTTTATGACTTCTGAGATCCTCTATTTTTTCTTCACTTGATTACTTAACTTCTTTAGATCATTGGTGAAATATCAGTCGCTGGTGCAACATATAAAGCTATGGAATTTGTTGGTACTACTGTTGAAAGTTTGACAGTAAGTATAATTAACTTTTACTGGTTGTATGTAGATTATCCATATAATTATTTGAGTCGCTAAATGGTTCATTAACATGTCTCTGCTCTTCATTGAAAAGATGGAAGAAAGAATGACATTGTGCAACATGGTTGTTGAAGCTGGGGGCAAAAATGGTGTCGTCCCTGCTGATAATACCACATATAAGTATCTCGAGGTAAATGTGCACGTCACTGATTCAATCAAATGCACGTATGTGGCAAACATGCTTATAATACACTATCGTAAACTCATACATATG